GAAGTGAGTATAAAGGTAGGGAGGCTTTGCTAAAACTAGACAAGGCACCAGTCAGGCCACACCTGGAATACTGTGAACAGTTTTGTCCCATTATTTAAAGAAAGATATATTGGCATTGGAGACAGTCCAGGGAAGATTCAGTAGGCTGATTCTGGGTATGGATAATCTCCTCATAGGAAAAACTGAGCAGCTTGGGTCTGTACACATTGGAGTTTAGTAGTATTAGAGGAGACCTTTATGAATTAATCAAGGTAGATGTGGGCAAATGTAGAACCTGAGGACAAAATTTCAGCATAAAGGGTCACCCATGTAAGATACAGATGAGGGGGATAACAAGGTGTGGAGCTGGAGGAACACAGCAGGCCAGGCAGTATCAGAGGAGAAGGAAAGCTGACATTTCAGGTCTGGACCCTTCTTCAGAAATGGGGGAGGGGAAGGGGGCTCTGAAATAAATAGAGAGGCAGGGAGCGGTGATAGAAGGTGGATAGTGGAGGAAATAGGTGGGAGAGAAGACAGACAGGTCAAGGAGGCAGGGATGAAGCTAGTAAAGGTGAGTGCAGGAAGGAAGTGGGGATGGGGGTTGGTCAGTGAGGTGGGAGGGGCGGATAGGTGGGAGAGAAGATGGACTAGTGAAGGAGGCGGGGATGAGGGGGGAGCTGGTTTTGGGATGAGATCGGATGTGGGGAGATTTTGAAGCTTGTAAAGTCCACATTGAGAACATTCAATGGGTTCAAGGTGGAATATGAGGTGCTGTTCCTCCAGTTTTCGGGTGGCATCGTTGTGACACAAGAGGAGGCCCAGGATGGACATGTCGTACAGGGAGTGGGAGGGGAGTTGAAGTGGTTTGCAACTGGGAGGTGTTGTCATTTGTCACGAACCAAGCAGGGGCTCATCCCAAGACCAGATCCCGCCGTCATCCCCACCTCCTTGATCTGTCCATCTTTTCTCCCACCTATCCGCTCCACCCATCTCACTGACCAACCCCCATCCCAACTCCCGACCTACACTCACTTTTACTAGCTTCATCCCCGCCTCCTTGACCTGTCCATCTTCTCTCCAACCCATCTGCTCCACTATCCATCTTCTATCACCGCCCTCCCCGCCTCTCTATTTATTTCAGAGCCCCTTTCCCCTCCCCCATTTCTGAAGGAGGGTCCAGACCTGAAACATCAGCTTTCCTGCTCCTCTGATGCTGCCTGGCCTGCTGTGTTCCTCCAGGTCCACACTGTATTATCTCAAACTCCAGCATCGGCTGTTCCTACTATCACAGATGAGGGGGAGCTTTTTCCCCAGAAAGCAGTGAATCTGAGACATTCTTTATTGCAGTGGACTGTTGAGGCTGGGTCGTTAAGTGTATTCATGGCAGCTATAGACATTTTAATCAGTAAAGGAATCAAGGGTTATGGTGATAAGGCAGAAAAGTGCAGTTGGGATTATTAGATCAGCCAAGATCTCATTAATGCTGTTGCAGACTCAATGGGCAGAATGCCCTAATTCCGCAGTTCTGTCTTTTGGATTCACAAGGAATACCAAGTGTTACATTTCACAACGAATTCCTAAGATCACAGGATAAAATTACTACTTACTGGACAAGAAATTAACATTTTTAAAAGAAAAATGAAATAATTAGCAATTTTCACTGAAGCTATACACAAAAGCTTCTAGCTTAGAATGAATTAATTTTCTGACTGAAAGTATTGTAAAAATGAAGCTTAGCAAAATCATTGAGTCAGGAACTTTAGCTAGAGTAAAAAGGAAGGAATAAATCAACTCTTTTGAGACTGACAGTAGCACGACAGTACTTCGAAGCAGTCAAGTTTCTTTCATGCAGCAGACTGATGAGCAGCATTTTTCTGTGTCACTGAGCATCACAAGCTTTCTATTAATTAGAGGTTTAGTCAGGAGTTTTCTGCCAGACTTTGGATCAACAGTTTTCCAGCAATATCACATCTCCAATCTAGAGGCAAATAAATAAACTGACAGGATGAACATTACATCTTTACCACCTTCCTCGACCCCTGTAAGTTTTTTATAGCGCAAAGGGCAATTACATTTGCTGAATATGGTGGGAATTGCCTCCGTCTAGCCCCAAAAGAAACATTTGGTTGGCAGCGTTTGTGAGGGTGAACACTGGCAGGCTACTCAACCACAGGACCTATGGCAACTCGGTTCAATCCTGATCCTGTTTTATCTATTACTGATGCACATCAGTACACTCATCAGGGATTGACAGGCTGGGGCTCCAGCTGAAAGATTTGTCAACTACATTTGCTAACGTTAATACCGTACTGTCTTCCAACTGCCATGACCTTACTCCATCTACTCCTCATTTGTTGCAGCCTTGGAGTCAAGACAAAAAAAAAACTTATATTTATACAGCACCTTCAACAATAACAATTTATGAATACATGGCATCTATCAATCACGAGATGTTCCAAGGTGCTTCATTGGGCCCTTCTGGAACAAAATCTGACACCAGGCCATCTAAGACAACATTACAACAAATGCCCAAAAGTTTGATGAAAAAGGTAAATTTTAAGGAGTGTCTTAAAGAAAATATATAAGGAGCCAAAGAGGTGTAGGAAGGGAATACCAGATCTTAGGTCCTTGGCAGTTGAAGGCACAGCCACCGACAGTGGAACAAGATGATTGAGACACTGGAGTTAGATGGTCACAAAGTTGAAGCATAGCACGCTGGATGCGATTGTGGAGATGAAACGAGAGTTGAGTCCGTGGTGGGACTTAAAAACAAGGATGAAAATTTTAACATTTTCCAGGATCCAATCTAAGTCAACATACACTCTGCCAAATCATCAAGTCCACCTCAATGCAAGTCCTGCAACTCACTGTAGCAATGCATACTGGCAACAATATTTAAATACACAGTGCGGTGTAACCAATTCTCCCACCCATTTTATAGTGTGATTACAATCACAAACAATGTCCAACTGACTTCCATATATTTATCTTAGAATACCGTGCAACTCATTATTAAGTTCACACAGTTTTAGAAATGTGCAGCATATTTCAATTAATAACTTGAATATACATAACATATGCAAATCAGTTTCAGCAAGCATGAGTAAAAGGGGCTTGTTGCATTCTTCTCACCAGTACTCACAGCTGTATCCTCAGCTGATAATATACCAATCCTAATTTTAACACTTCCATTAATCCCCTGTCACTCAATATGAACTGCCTTATTATTTCCAGTCTTGGATTTGAAAGTCCAGCAGAATTCAATGGATTCCAATGATTTCTAACAGCACAAGATAGAAAAACTGGTCATCCATGGAACAGATAACATGCTTTTTAAAAGTACCTTGAAAGATGGCATATATCCTAGAGGCAACGTTTTCATGCAGAGGGCGATGCGTGTATGCAATGAACTGCCAGACGAAGGGGTAGTGGAGGCTGGTACAATTACAACACTTAAAAGGCATCTGGATGGGTATATGAATAGGAAGGATTTGGAGGGATATGGGCCAAATCCCTGCAAATGGGACTAGATCAGTTTAGGATATCAGGTCAATATGGAAGAGTTCAGCCAAAGGGTCTGTTTCCATGTTGTACATCTCTACGACTGTATAGCTAGTGTATTTCTTTCCCATCCCACAGATCAAGATGGCAAATCATGGTCACCCAGAGTTGCAGAATTAGTCTCCAAATAATTGTTTGGAACCTCTCCCCCGCTTCATCCACACAACCCTCCCAGCACAGCTAGGCAGAGGAAGGGATTTGATTTTGATTTGATCTTAACCCTGTCGTTGTGAATTTCTAAAACAGTGACCATTTCACACTTGTCACTTCATCAATGATCCACAATATTTTGGAGAGCGTGCCAACTGCAAGAAACCATTTCAAGAAAGACCAAGCAATGGCGCTGGAACTTTTACTCGTATGTGGTTTAGTATCACATGATGCCATATGCTTACATATTGACTAGCACTAAGATAATGGGAGCAAACAGAAAGAACTTTGTTAATTTGTGGGTCTCCATTATTAAATATTAAGATATTTCACAGTAACTACACGGTGCCTATTTTGAACAAGCTGGTGTTGGCAAGATATCAATTATTTTAAAATAAATGCCTCATGACATATTCAAGCTGTACTGATTTTAAAAGGGTGCAAAATGCATTCTGTACAAAATGCTCTTTCAACTTTATCAATGTCAGTTCACTACTAAACCTCCATGGTCTACCACTTACACTGTGCTCGGAAATGATGTTTACTACAAAGAAATGGCATTTCTCCAAATGTACTGTTTTCCTTTCTCAAGTACAAAACTTCTGCTCCTCAACCTGGAGGGATCTCTTGAAATTAAGATCCATTTATCTTTGGGATGTGACTAACCCATCCAACCGGTGAGAAACTGCTCACTTGACACCGCCTCAGAACAAAAGCTTGCTGAAAGTAAATGGCAGCTTTTTCGTAAGGACACCCATGATAACAGAATAAACTTGACTGTACAATAAGCCTTGAGATTTTGTGGCGATTTTGTTTTTTTTTTAAAAGAAATCTGTGGTTTAATGGATTTTTCCCCCTCAACTTGCATTCAGAAAAATAAGGGTGGGGGGAGAACATAAGAATTAAAACAAATCTGACCTTCAGAAAAGAGAACTGCCTACAGGGGAAGAGAAAGACGATTTAAAAAGAAAGTTTGAAGAATGGGAGTGAAAGAATTGTCATTAAATCAGGGTGAACGCCGCATCTGGAAGCTGCCTGGAAAGGAGTGGGGAGTGGGGGAAGAGGAATCTCCCCTTCGCCCTAGTGTCGGTACCCGAGTCCGGTGCCCCGATAGGCCGCGGCTGCCGTGGCAACGGTGGCCTACCCTGGGAAAAGGTGGGGGTGGGGGTGTGGAAACAGCCGCCCGATTCACCACCGACACAGATATTGGGGGGGGATTGGGGGGTAGAATCAGTATCGTCTCTCCCCCCACGGTTCCCCACCTTAAAAACAAAGCGCATTATATTATCCGGTCTAAGTTGTTTCCTGACCTGCTCCTCCTCGGCCGTCAGCTCCGCCGCCATCCTCACTCCCTTCCCCGCCCGGGCCCGGCTGCGCTCCGCTCACTGCAACCGCCTGCAGCTGCTATCCCCGGCTTCTCGGCGAACTCTCCTCCCCCATCCTTCCTTCCTTCCTTCCCTCAGCCAAACAATGACTGAGCTCTACTCACAGGTTCATCCTCCATAGGCCCGCCCTGTCCGCCAACTGTGGCACAATGGTCATGTCACTGGTCTGGTGACAGCGCGACCCGGGTTCAAATCCCAGACCCTCCCTCTCCCATAGTAATTCTATTCTGTCTCAATATCTTCAATCTATGAATAGATTTGGATCCATATAGTGCCCAAATCTCCCTGGTATCCATTGCCTTCAAACAAAACCCGTCTGATTTATGCTGCCCCAACCAAGCTGTTCAGGGGGGGGAAAAAAATCATACAAGATGCTGTTTCAGAGATAGTAGGAACTGCAGATGCTGGAGAATCTGAGATAACAAGGTGTAGAGCTGGATGAACACAGCAAGCCAAGCAGCATCAGAGGAGCAGGATGCTGATGTGCCCTTAAATCCACCTTCTGTAATAACTCTTGCTTCCTTCTGTCCATCAAAGATCTTGAAGAAATTCAGTGACCCAGTTCCCTCTGCTATCCGGGGAAAGGGAGCCATACCAACAATGTGTTAAGTCACCTAATTGTGCTCTGGGAGCGGGAAAAGTTCAAACGAGATGTGAGGGGCAAGTTTTGTTTTCACACAGAGAGTGGAAGGAGTCTGGAGCACCCTGCCAGCGGTGATGGTGGAGGCAGATACAATAGGGGCATTTAAGGGACTTTTAGGTAAGCACATGAATATGCAAGGAATGGAGGGATATGAACCAAGGGCAGCTGGAAGGTATTAGTTTAGTTTGGCATCATGTTTGGCACAAAATCCTGTCCATAAAAACCAAGGTGAGTCCAATCTGGTCACTTATTATCCCATTTTCACCATGAGTTAAGCAAAAGAATGAATTGTCAAGCTCCTCTGATTCTGCCTGGCCTGCTGTGTTCCTCCAGCTCTACACTGTGTTCTCTGAGTTGTCAAGTAGTGCTTGTTTCAACAATAACCTACTCGCTGATGTTCCGTTTGATTTCCACCAAGACAACTTGGTTCCTGAACACTTGACAACCTTGGTCCATAAGTGGACAAAAGAGCTCAACTCACTGGGCGTGAGGACAGGATCCCTAGAAAAACTGAAGTCAATGGGAAGCGAGGAGAAAAAGTTCCATGGTTAAGTTTACACCCAGCACAAAGGAATCATGAATTGTAGTGGATAATTAAAGAATCCAATGTAGGAAATGCTTCACAATATCTATCTTCAACAATAGGGGCAGCCCACAGTATCAATGCAAAAGATAAGGCCAAAACATTCACAACTATCTTTAGCCAGAAGTGTTGAATGGATGATCCATCTCAGCCTCTTGCAGAGTTCCACAGCATCACAGATGCCACTATTTAGCCAATTCAAGTCACTTCACGAGATGTCAAGAAATGGCTGAAGGCACTGAATACTGCAAAGGGCCTGACAACAGTAACTTGTGCTGCAGAACTTACCGCATGTCCTAGCCATGCTGTTCCAGTATAGCTACAACACTGACATCTACCTGACAATGTGCAAAATTGCCAGGTATGTCCTACACACAAAACAGGGCAAATCCAACCTGGTAAATTACTGCCCCATCAGTTTTTTGGAGTGGAGGACTGTGACCAGCGGTGTTCCACAGGGATTGGTACTAGGTTCATTTTTGTTTGTTATTTATATTAATGGTTTGGATGAGAATATAGGAGGCATGAGTAGTAAGTTTGCAGATTACACCAAAATTTGTGGCATAGCAGATAGTGAAGAAGATTATCTAAGATTACAAATAGATCTTGTTCAGTTGGGCTGAGGAATGGCAGATAGAGTTTAATTTGAATAAATGATAGGTATTGTATTTTGCTGTATAAACAAGGACATGACTTATACAATTAATGATAGGGCTCTGGGCAGTGTTGTAGAACAGAGAGACCTAGGGGTGCTGGTACATAATTCTTTGAAATTTGTGTCACAAGTAGATAGGGTGGTTTAGAAGTCATTTCGTACACTTGCCTTAATTGCTCAGACCTTTGAGCTTAGGAGTTGTGCGTCATGTTGAGGTTGTACAGGACGTTGGTGAGGCCTCTTCTGAAGTACTGTGTGCAATTCTGTTTGCCCTGTTATAGGAAGGATATTATTAAACTGGAGAGGGTTCAGAAATGATTTACCAGGATGTTGCTGGGAATGGAGGGTTTGCAATATAAAAATATACTGGGACATTTTTCACTGGAGTATGGGAGGTTGAGGGGTGACCTTATTGAGGTTTGTAAAATTGTGAGGGGTATAGTAAGGTGAATGACAAAGGCCTTTTCCCTAGGGTGGGGGAGTTCAAAACTAGGGGGCATATTTTTAAGGGGAGAGGAGAAAGGTTTTAAAAAGACATGAGGAGAAACCTTTTTATAAAGTGGTTCGTGCATGGAATGAACTTCCAGACTAAGTGGTTGATGCAGGTACAGTTATAACATTTAAAAAAACATTGGATAAATTCATGAATATGAAAGGTTTGGAGGGATGTGGGCCAAGTGCATGTAGGTAAAGCACGCCATTCGGCCCATTGAGACAACCTCTGAAGAGCATCCTAAGTAGACCTACTCTATCCCTATAATCCCGTATTTCACATGGCTAACCCACCTACCCTGCACATCCCTGGATAGTATGGGCAACTTAGCATGGCCAATCCACCTACCCTGCACATCTTTGGACTCTGGGAGAAAACTGGAGCACTAAGGTGTGTAAAGACAATAACAGTGTAATTATATTTGGGGGGTTTCAATTACTCCAATATTAATAAGGCTTATCATAGTAAAAAGGGTTTAGATTTCTTGAAATGTATACAGGACAGCTTTTTACGTTAACATGTAGATGGTCCTATAAGGGACAGTGCAGGGTTGGAACTAATTCTGCAGAATGAAACCAGACAGGTTTCTGAGGTGTCAGTGGGGGAGCATTTTAGTGATAGGGACACTGTACATTCTAAGTTTGCTTTGGAAAAGGAGAAGGATGGTCTGTAAGAAAGGGTTTTTGATTGGGACAAAGCATATTTTATGTAAAGTAAAGCAGGATCTGGCCAAAATAAACTGGGAATAGTTTAAGGATAAATCTGTACCAGAATAGTGGGAGGTATTCAAAAGGTACCAGGGAGAGTATAGGTCCAAAATGTTCCCTTTAGAGTGAAATGTAGAAGCAACAAGCCCAGAGGCTTGGATGTCTAGGAACATTCAAAACTGGATAGAAAAGATTGCTGGGAAAAACCCATCTGGTTCACTAACGTTCTTTAGGGAAGGAAACTGCCATCCTTACCTGGTCTGGCCTACATGTGACTCCAGACCCACAGCAATGTGGTTGACTCTTAACTGGCCTTTGGACAATCAGGAATGGTTAATAAATGTTGTCTGGCCAGCAGCGCCCTCATCCCGTGAGTGAATAAAGAAAAAAAAAAGGATAACTAGTACAAAGAGAGCAAAACAACAGAGGTCCTAGAGGAGTACAGGAAGTGCATGGGGGAGCTCAAGAAAACATTTAAGAAAACAAGGAGGGGACGTGAATAAACATTTGTAGGTGAGACTGGGGAGAATCCCAAGACACCCTACAAGTACATCCAGTGGAAGAGAATAACCAGAGAAAGAGTAAGGCCTATTAGGGACCAAGGGGACACTCTGTTTGTCAAGCTGGAGGACATTGGTAGAATGTCAAATGTATATTTCTCATTTGACTTTACTCGAGAAAAGGATGCAAGAACAGGATTTGAGAAGATGGACAGTGAGGCTCTTAAACAGATTGATACAGAAAATGAGACTTTGGCAGATTTAAAAGTGGACAAATACCCAGGTCTGGATGAGTTGTTTTCCAGGATGCTTTTGGAGATGAGGAAGGAAATTACAGGGGCCTAGATCCAAATATTTAAATTGTCTTTAGCCACAGGAGAGGTGCCAGAGGGCAGGAGGGCAACTACTTTGGTTCCATTTTACAAGAAGGGTGGTAGAGATAAACCAGGGAACTATTGACCAGTAAATCTAGCATCTATTGTGGGGAAAGTATTGGAGAAAATTAATCTCCATTTAGAGAGGCAAAGTTTGATCAGAGATCATCAGCATGGCTTTGGCATGCTAACAAATCTGGTTGAATTTTTAAGGAATTGACCCAATTTAGATGAGGGTAGGTCAGTTGATGTAAACAATATGGATTTCAGCAAAACTTTTGACAAGGTCCTACATGGGAAACTGATAAAGACAACTAAAAACTCATTGGATCCTGGGTAACCTGGCAAGATAGATCCAAAATTGGCTTTGTGACTGGAGACAGAGGGTGGTGGCAGAAGGCTGTTTGTGTGACTGAAGACAGTGTGCAGTGGTGCAACACAGGGATCAGCACTGGGTCCCTTATTGTTTGTGATATTCATAAATAATGTAGTTGAGAATGTGAGAGGGATGATAAGTAAATTTTTGGAAGCCATAAAGATTGACCAAGTGGTTGACAGTGAGGAGGAAGGTGTTAGGCCACAGGAGGATATAAGCAGATTGGTCAGATGGGCAGATCAGTGGCCGATAGAATTTAACCCTAATAAATGTGATGTGATGCGCTTTGGAAGGAACAGAACAAGCGAGTACTCAATGAATGACAAGACACTAAGAAGCTCAGAGGAACAGTGGGATCTTGGGGTGCTTGTCCACAGATCCCTGACGGTGGCAAGACAGGTTAATAGGGCAGTTATGAAGGCGTAAGGGATGCTTGCCTTGATCAGTTGTGACATAGATTATAAAAGCAGGGAGGTCATGTTGGCGCTGTAAAGACTTTGGTTAGGCCACACCTGAAGAACCGTGTACAGTTCTGGTCACCTCACAAGATGAAGAATATGATTGCATGGAGCAGGTGCAGAGGACATTCACCAGGCTGTTGCCTGGGATGGACCATTTCAATGAAGAGTGGTTAGATGAGATTGGGTTGTTTTCTTTGGAGGAGTAAAGGTTGAGAGGAGACCTGAAAGCAATGTATAAGATTGAGGAGCATGGACAGCGTCGATAAAAGGCAGCTATTCCCCTTAGTTAAAAAGTCAAGAATCA